AGTTGTATCTTTACATATCGGTATTTACTTTTGATAAAGCGCCTTGTAGCACAATGAATCCATCGAGCGTTCTCAACACATACTGCTCTAAATCATGGATATCTTGGAATGAGTTGTTCTCAGATTGGTTCCGCCTTTCATCTTTCGCCGTGCCTAATTTTTCATCCCTTGATTGCATTTCTTGTAAGACAAGTTGCAATGCACGTTGTGTTTCTTTCAAGTTTTCTTGTATTGCTTCGATCTTTTTCCTATGATCTTTCCAGTTGACAATAACTTCACAGGCAACACAGCCTAAGCCGATCAATCCACCTACCACAGCGCCGGCACCAATTTCAATTGGCCGCGGAAACGGGAAAACTAAGCCAATAGTGAACCCGGCTATAGCTCCACCGATTGTGAAGCCTAATAAGTTTAAAGCAACATATTTGGCTTTAAATATCAATGTGCCATATTTCTTATGCAGTTGAATCGATGTTTGTATTAATCGATCACATGCGGTCAAGTAATCGAATAACGTCTCTTTTTGTATTTTGTTCAATCGCTCTTTGATAAATTCTAACTTTCGGTGTTCATCAGCTTGTTTGTACTTTGGCTTTTGGAAATTATCTTTTAGGACACACAACTGAATTTTTGATTCAAGAATAAATTTCAATAATGATTCTTTGAATCCCATCACATCTCCTACGAAATCAGGGTACTCGCTGAACAAATATCTGTCCATAACTTTCACTTTATCGAGTATTACACTCACACTCTTGATGGTGTCGACCAAAAAGGTGGGATCCTTAAATATCCGAATGACCGTTTGGTAGTCTAGGCTTTTTTGGGCTAAGTGTTTCCAATGGAAATCTGAAACAAAATGCACAGTACAATCTGTTGTTTCTCAGCAACGTGTACAATACGCTTTACTTTTTTCAACGAAATGTATCAAAGTGTTTAAAGGGTCAATTTTCAGAATCTGAAGAGGAAAATCTAATTTTCGCTGTCTCTTATCTCATGAAACAAACATTTTGACCATTAGCAAAAAAAATCATATCTAATTAATTTAAAACTGTATGCGGCTTTTATTGTTCAGGGTGTGGGTGTGAGTGGGTGAGTGTGTGCGTCAAAGAACCGTGGTATCCCTGTGGATGTACGTGTGTCTAGCATGCTAGTATAGGTATGGCTGGGTAAGTACATAGATGTTCGTCTGGCTGCATATAATTGTGGATGTACGCGTTGGTTTGACTGCACGAACATGTGCGCGTTGACGTCGGTGGCTCATTAATGTATAGGTGTGGGTGTAGATCTTTTAAGTATTTCCACGCGCTAATGTCGGTGGCTCCTTGATGTAAAGGTGTGGGTGCAGGTCTTTTAAGTATTTCCACGCATCAACATCCAGACCCACACACACACCGATGTGGTTAACGGAGATTGACGCTAACCACGGTATGCTGGATTCGTTCCGAGAACATTGCGAGTAGCATATTGAACTTGTCTTGTCCACAACGAAGAAGCCGACCTGTTACTCGCTTGGTAAACCCGCAACGCCGAAATAGCTCGTGGCGGCTGACCCTCTGAGAAGTTTTGAGACTCTGTGTAAAAGCTCACTCTCCTCACACACTCAAGATTTTGTATTGGCTGAATATATATGTGAAATTAACCATACAAATCGCCTTTCATAAGCACAAAAGGGGAAATATGTATTCTTGATTTATTTAAAACAAATGAAGTTGTATCTTTACATATCGGTATTTACTTTTGATAAAGCGCCTTGTAGCACAATGAATCCATCGAGCGTTCTCAACACATACTGCTCTAAATCATGGATATCTTGGAATGAGTTGTTCTCCGATTGGTTCCGTATTTCATCTTTCGTCATGCCGAATTTTTCATAGCTTGATTGCATTTGTTGCAAGACATGTTGCAATGCACGTTGTACTTCTTTCAAGTTATCTCGTATTACTTCGATCTTGTTCATATGATGTTCCCAGTTGAAAATAAGTTCATAGGCAACATAGCCTAAGCCGATCAATCCACCAACCAAAGCGCCGGCGCACATTTCAATTGGCTCCAGAAACGGCAAAACTAAGCCAATAGTGAACCCGGCTATAGCTCCACCGATTGTGAAGCCGAGTAAGTGTAAAGCAACATATTTCGCTTTAAATATCCATGTGCCATACTTCTGATGCAGTTGAATCGATGTTTGGATTAATCGATCACATGCGTGCAAGTAGTCCAATAAGGTCTCTTTTTTTTTGTCCAATCGCTGTTTGATAAATTCTACCTTCCGGTGTTCATCAGCTTGTTTGTACTTTGGCTTTTGGAAATTATCTTTTAGGACAGACAACTGAATTTTTGATTCAAGAATAAATTCCAATAACGATTCCTTGAATTCCTTCACATTTCTTATGAAGTCAGTGTATTCGCTGAATAAAAATCTGTCCATAACATTCATTTTATCGAACATTTCGCTCACATTCTTAATGATGTTATCCAAAAAGCTGGGATCCATAAATTTTCGAACGATTGTCGGGTAGTCTAGGCTTTGCCCGGATGTAGCCGTAGCCATTGTTGTGGAATGTTATGCAGATGTCGATTACTAATGTTTCGGCTGTACAACACTAGATCATCATATATATTTATACCTCCTGAAGCTGTACGCAATCGAGTTTTATCCCAGGCCAGAAAAACAACCACTTTCAGGTATGAAATTCCGTTTTCCATTGCAACTCATAAGATATGCTAGGTTGGTAAAAAACGAATGTCATTGTGAATGACAAAACATCCATCTTTTACATTGTTGTGCGAAAAAAACCAACGAATCTTGCATATTTATCAAATATTGACAAAATGTTAGTATGCAAAGACACCATGCGTAAATGTTGGTTTGAGATAAAAGAAAGTAACATCACTGCTTCGATGGCTAACAACACGCATCGATGCGATACTGTTCTCCTCTTTTTCTAAAACAAATATTTCCTAACCGATTTTTTCCCAGTCGACTTCTGTGCCAATACGGGATAAATGTCGAAAATTAGAATGTGGCATGTGGTTGGGCGTGGGTGCTTGGGTACGCTCAGAAGATCTACACCAACACCCACATCCACACCCACACCCTTGAATTAGAATAGCTGAACATGCTTTCAAAGCTGTCTAAGTCACGCAAAACATGTCAGTTTCACATTTTAGCCCTAAAGGGGCTGCCCTGAAAAGCTTTTTTAAATAAACTCTAAGTTAAAAGGTAAATGGGGTTTTAAGAAAATAAATAAATGGATCTGGGATCACGAAAATCTGAGATCAGATTGGGAATAAAGCTATGGTTAGCATTAAAAATAACTGGGAAATGAATTGCGATTGATCCTAATAATCACTAAAAGTATCATTGAAAATTAGTGATTAATCTGCAGCTTTTCGGCAATTTCTACGACAACGGAAACATCAGTCTTTTCAACTGATGAATTAATGTTACATCCTTTAGGTAAATTTGCTTTTCTTTACTGAGAATAAATATTGTGGGCAAGCAAAAAAGATATGAGTGATCTGAAGTGAGAAGTCTATTACGGTTATCTTTTGGTGTTGCCAACGTTATAGTTACCGGACGACCTTCAATATGATCGTGTTATCGGAGAATGTATGCAAAAGTATACTTTGTCGTGCAGTTACGTTGGAATCCAGTCATTTTCTTTCTTCTATTCTTTGATTGGATTTCTTTATAATACATTTTTATTTTTCACTTTCCGTTCGGTGAAAGAAGAAGTACTGTGCATACATCAGCATCACCAGTTAGTGTCTGCTTACTTTTACTCTTACATTGCTGTTTTCAGCTATTGGGTTCCTTTTTTCCAGCGATCGATTGATTTAGCTTGTCAATTGTAGGCAAGATTGTTTTTCTTCTGAAACAATAATTTTTTTTTCTAGATTTGAATCCATTTTGAACGACTGATATCATCAACTTATTTTTCAAATTATTCGGTGTCTTCAATCTGTTATTGAGATAGTGGGTTCTAGCGCACGGTTCTCTCATCCAATTAACGGTAATATTTTGTTGAACAGCCTTTCAGCACTGGTCAACATTGAACTACAGAAAAGTAACAACTTCCAAAAGGATTGATAGGTAAGTTTACATGATTTATCATTAGCACTTTTGTAATCACCCAATAAAATGGCTTCACAACTAATTGAATGGAAAGATTTAGTGGAAAAATCCTTTTCCCTACTCTAATCGAGGAGCAGTCCTACTATTCCGCAATGTTGAACATTCAGGAACCAGTTCCGCCGCGGAATCAATCTCCTCAATTCTGGAATCACACAAAATCCCTAGGAATTAGAACTTTTATTACTGTTTTATCTTCTCTTCCCATCTTGAGGGTGTGGGTGTGGGTGTGGGTGTCGATGTAGACCTGATCACGCTCATTCTCTACTAAAGATTCAACCAGGCTGCGTTTTTTCAGGCCTACTCGGCCTGTGACAGACTTCTGAACTCCAAGCCTGCCTGTATCTGGGTGTGG